ACCGAACTACAACAAAAGCAAACGCCAACATACATAGAAACGGACTGTAGATAACAACTGCCATATTCCTGACCTGGTACAGGACATTTTAAGAAAAAATGGTGGGTTGAATCTGGTTTTATGGCTAGCCAAACCTCCCGCTTATATGGCAATGTTAAAAATACCACTAAAATGACAACACTACGTGACAGGAATACAGTACAAACAAACGCAAGAACACTCAGCACAGAGAAGTACATAAATAAATAATATAATAGTACATTACAACATACAATGTATAAACCGCAGAATAACAATGGACACCTCCCATGAATTTACTGCGCGTCACATGATTGGATTGACGTAAAACATTTCTTGAATCCATACCCTTACGTTCCATTACGGAACGCCATTTTCGAGGTTAACGACTGCAATGTCAATCGCTAACCAAAACATGAAAAGCAGAGCCACGCCTTAAATGTTTCCGATTTACTAAATCGCAATAGAATCGACTACAGAATTTTTTTTAAAGGTCTACAGTTTAAACTGCATAATTGCCTAAAATAGACCGTAATAGGGTGAGACAGAGGCCAAATTAGAAGGAATAAAACAGAACTCAAAACATACCAAACAGAGCTGGCTGACTTTTATGTCAATAAATTTGGCGTTGGTTACAATCCAACGGTGACACATCCATTGATAAGGAGGAAACCAGGGTTTTAGTGCATACCACATGATTTGGACATTCACCTTTCGAACTCAAAACCTTATTCTTACAATGAGGTAATGAATAAAATTTATGTTTATATATTTATCTTATAAGTATTGCATATTTGAAAATGAAAATGAAAAGTATAATCTGGTGTTGCGTTTTCAAAGTCCGTCAGTATATATCTTTACGTATTTGTTTAACGTCCTTGTCACAGTGACCCGTCATATTATATGACAAGGACTCAAACATTTTGAAAAAAAAAACAGTAGAAAAATATACTTTAATATACAGACACAATATATTTGTAAGCAGAAAAATGAGATCGATATGGTATTATGTTACAGATACCATCTAAAATCATATACACGCATGCTTTAATAATCTTGTTTACATGGTATAAAATATCTTAATACTCGTATCTTCTATGATATAAAATATAAAACACTATTTTTTACAAATGTGAAATAAACCATCTAAAACTGTTAGATGCATGTATCAGTTCGGAAAGCAGTCTGTTACATTAGTTACGACTTTTCAGTCAATGAAACTCGATATTTCACGTGTAAAATAGATCTTTTTTTTTCACTCCTCTGACGGCATACATTATATAACAATAATTTGTGCCAAGACGTTGCCAACGAAATTACTTAAACACGATGAGAACGCGTCGAAATTTCATATCAAAACTTCATGTAATGAAAAAAACAAAAGGCTGTCAAATTCACAGAAAACCGGGTTTTTCTTACAATTATTAGTGTCATGATTAAAGTAATTAAGGACCGACATTACTCATGAACGTTTAAAGTAAAAATCCTCAAACCCTATCTCGACCTCTTTTTTGTCATGAGAAACAACATATTCAAGTTTGAAAAGAATTGGACCAAGCGTTCTCAACTTAAAGCAGGGAATCGACATAAAGTTCAATTTCAGACATCAATCAAAGATCATAACTCTTAAATGACCTCTATTTTGTCATTAGTTATAAAAGAGAGGTGAAAGATACCAAAAGGATATGCAAACTCATAAGTCGAAAACTAACTGACAATGCCGTGACAAAAAATGAAAAAAAAAAAAAAATCAAAAGATAAACAATATACAAACACGACATAAAAACGAAAGACTGAGCAACACGAAACCAACCGAAATCCGATGCGATATTAGGTGCTCCGTAAGGAAAAGCATATCCTACTCCACACGTGGCACCCGTCGTGTTATAACATGTTGAAATTTGAAAACCATTCGTTGAACGTTTCTCAAGTTATTGGACGAAAACAGCTTGTGCCAACGTACTACCCATGATTAATGACCGGATTTTTCCATCGGAAAACCCGTTTTAAAACTAATCCAAGAATTCAAATATAGAAAAATATCCAACTAATTATCGAACAACACTGGTAATTCACTCATGGGCTACGCGTTCCTGAATCAATGTGTTGTTCGGTCACGAAATCTTTGATTAGTTATTCTTTAATTATCGTTTCTTTTACATTCATGATTTTCTAATATGTCCATTACCTTTTACTCCATCATCCAAAGCCGAGGAGACCGAAACGAAAAACTATAGATGTAAACTAGCACTTGGTTTACATTTCAGGACATGGCTTCTTGTAATGTATGAAGGTCGCCTTTTAATCCGCTTTTTTCAAACTTTAATAAAGTAACTATGCTCTGGGAAAAATTCTTTTGTGATTTTTTTTTCACAAAAAAATGGTCATTTCAGACAGATGTCAGATGACTTTAGGAAAATTAGTCGTTCACATCTATTTAGGAATTATAATGATATTAAAAATTCTGCGAAAGGGGATAGTTAAGAGCTCTGAATTCAACAATGTCCGAATTACAAGATTAAAAAAAATCAATTTTAGGTAGACATCAGATATGCTGACGATATATATCTTACAAATTTCAATGTAATAAAGTTTGATGTATATTCCCTCAAAATTCAACTTAACAATTGGAGGTCATCGTATGATTTGTGTGAAAAAATGAGGTCCAATTACTGCCTTATTTTCTATCGATAATTCGAGGGTAATCATTTTTGGTAAATATTAATAATAATAATAATAAATAAATGGGGAATGTGTCCATGGGACACAGATGATGCCCCCGCTTGCATATCATATAAATTTATAAAGGGACATAACTGAAGAACAGTAAAAGTGACGCTACCCAAATTTGTACTTGATCTGAGTTTTGTGGTAATAAGCATTGTGTATAAGTTTCATAACATTTGGTTGAGGCAATTTTTCCCTTTGTAAAGGGGCATAACTCTAGAACAGAAAAAGTGATGCCACCAAAATTCAAACTTGATCTGTATTTTGTGTTAATAAGCATTGTGTATAGTTTCATACTATTTGGTTGCGGTAAACTTAAGTTGGAGAACAAAAACGAAAAAATTCAGCAGTTTTTCCATTTGTAAACGAGCATAACTCTGGAACGGTTTAAGTGACACCACCAAAATTCTAACTTGATCTGTATTTTGTGGCAATAAGCATTGTGTACAAGCTTTATAACATTTGGTTGAGGCAAACTAAAGTTAGAGAACGGAAACCAACTTTGGGACGTACGTACGGACGGACGGACAGATGGACAAGGGTAAAACTTAATGCCCCCTCCGCTACGGCGGGGACATAAAAATGGAAACCATTTTCAGCCTTCCGTCGGAATACTGAGCTGATTTGGAGACATTATTTAAAATGACGATATTACAAAGCAAATATAACTTTTGTGGGTTTACCTTTTTTTGACCTGATTGCGATAAATAATAAAAGTTTTCTCCTTCGTTGGCAGCCCACCATTTAGATATAACGATCGAGCTAATATAAATGAATTACGAGAAATCATATATTATATGTGCGTTATGGTTGTCACTCCGGATAAGCACAAAACGCTATATCGTGGCGAAAATGAGGTTTATCTTGTGGAGCTGCTTTTGACCTTATAACAACTATGCAGACAAGACAGTGTCACGTAAATGACGATTCCCTGTTCAGGATTTAAACATTCTCAGTGAACATTAGTGCTAAAATTTGGTATTAAATTATGAAATGAATGATGACAGATTTTTTTTTTTAAATTAACTAAAATGTTTCCCTAATTACGACCTGAAAAAAAAAGTTTTTTGAAAATTAATTTTCATCCTAGCAGATATGGAGGTGATTCTGCAAGGTCAGAACGTAACTTTGAAGTGAATTAGAAAAGATAATAAGTTACGACACAAAAGGGGATCAAATTATGACCACAAAAGATATGCGAGTTGGCTAAGGTAAGACAATTTAGCCTAGGCGACGACACAAAATGGGTCGATTATAAACGAATGATGCAAGAGGGGTCTATTTCGTACAATGAACCTGTCATTCTTCTAATCAAAATACATGTCAATCATGCATGTATGTCTTCACTAAAGTATGAGTTGCTTATTTAAAACATCCCCGACCATGACGGAAGTCTCATAAATGGGACTCATACATTTGATAATATTTTGTCCAATATTGTGTATCGTTGCTACTGACAAGTTTGTTTGTTGACGTTGACATTGATGAAATTATTAGCTACTGTGAAAAATATATGTCGAATATGATTAAATTAATCATTTTAAAAGTAAAAAATTCACAGATTGTTTCTTAAACAATGAAGGATAGTCTGTGACAAATATTTGAATATATTATATGCAAATACAAAATGTCAAAAATGTTTAAACAAAACCATTATAGGAGTGGCAAAGCTTCAATATGTGTGCAAACTTATATGGTCATGTAGTCCAGTAGTTCTATGAATTAAAATTGAAAAAGATTTGTAGATTTTGATATTCAAGTGTGTAACAAATCACTTTTACTATCAAAGAAACCAAAACTCCTTTTATTCAGCCACCAAATCAAGCAGTATTCACTAACTATTTTGTTAATTCTTACAATTATTGATAATTGACTAATTATTGGACGGTATATAATGTAAACTGTAGTTGATCTACTCTTTGCGGCAGTAGAATAGTATTCCCTGTGATAAAAGGAAAGCTAAAAAGTTCGTTGGAAATTTCAGTATTGAACAACTCGAAGAAAATGCATGATGAAACTGCAAGCATGACTGTTCGTTTCATGTACCAGTGTTATCAAAATATAAGATGTTAAACAAATCTATTTAATTATTGAAATATATTGTCCCTTATTGTTTCAATGTGTATACTTGTACGAATATATGGTCGATATTCGCAGAGCATTAGGCTGAAGTACGCATCTAGCATATCTTAGAGTAAATTCACCGTAACATAGAAGAGTGGAAAAGGACGACTACGATGGTTATTTTTACTTACCATGTGAAGTAACCAGTACACGTGACGCTGATTTTCATAACAACAAAGAAGGCTACCTTCATCTGTTTTCACTCTGTCAATATTATACAATTGTTTATAAGCGGATAATGCACTTCTATGTAGTCCAAGACCATTGCAAGCAATACATACTTGTGTTTCGTTCAAAGTCGATAAAATTCTAGGCGAATCTCTATTACCGTATAAAAATAGTGTGCATAAAATACTTATTGCTAGAAAAAAATTCAAAACTAACGAAACAGTTGATTTCACAAATAAATGTTTTTGTCCAATGAGATTTTGAAAGAAAATCGTTATGAATTCACGTCTTGTTGGTGTAGTTCTTGGTGTGGGTTTTCCCGCTGTTGATATATTAATCCCAAAGGCCCAGATAACTTCTTCTCGTTTCCCATTTGCACAAGTTGATATTTTTTCTCCTATCTGACTCACGTATCCTGTTTCTAAACAGGAACAGTTGTTAACACAGTAGTTGCAATTATCGCTTGATGATGACGATGAAGAACGTGTAAGATCATTCATTTGTCTGCTTTCATGCAAATGGTGTAATGCATCTTCAGCTCCTTTCTCGCATGAAGCTTTTTCACTGTAAAGTATAGAGTATATATTACAGAATTAAATAGCTAACACTATAAAGAAAAAAGGAAAACTATGATATGACTTTCTTTGCTAGTAGCTTTGCGGACGTTTATCGTAGATTTAATTACCCCAAATCGAGCAGTTCACAGAAGGTTATCGTGATGAATTTATTCAAAAAGTTAGTTAACCAATTTGTTCCCGATTACCTTTGTTTAGGTCTTAAGCCCTTGAAAAGTTGACATTAAGCATAAATGTCTCAGAAATAAAATGACTTGCACAAGGTGTCTTCTAGTGTAAAGCTTTAACTTCTGATACTTCCCAACTTACTTTACGCTTGTTCTTAAAATTACAGACAACCAAACCCAACAAGAAAAAACAAATCCCTTTAAAATCTTTTTAATGCATGTATTAGTTGTTATTATTAACTTTACACAACAAGTATTGATGTTTGTAACTTATTTTACCAGTAACCTTCATATACATTGTATATATATTTATCAATTGTTTAATAAATAAAACGACAAATGTGCGTCGAAAGGATGTTATTTGCCTTAATATTATCCAAGGTAAAGAAGTTGATATGTATTTGATTATTTACATTTAATGATGACCCGACCAGATATTCAATGCGACTTTTACTACCAAACAAAGCGTTAACAAAACATATTTTGGAGACCAAAGCTCACTCGTAAATCTGTCTCTCTGAAACAATAAGGCTTCAACCATGCTAAGCCAAATAGACACATTATATATCAATTTGGCGGTGCGTCCGAAACGCTTTTCTGGAATTACCATTATCAGAAACCCAAACAATATTGAAAGTCAAGGATGTATAAATACCTGAATACGATAGTTTTATGACCAGCAGGGACTATTATAAAGAATAACTAAATTCATACAAAAATAAATATTTTGTCTGAAGGAGTTCGGTTACTTAATAATTTGTAAATTTTTCAATAGACAATTTGAAAGCTGGAATCTTTCCAAACTGATTCAATATTGTACAGGTATATACCACCGTTATTAAGATTATGACGTAAGGGTAAACAGCTATATCGATCACTTCCTTTGCAGTCTATATATAATTTTTAAAGGCTGCGCAGAAGATTTGTATATTGCGGGTATCCAGGATCAAACTGATAGAACCACTGTTAATTTGGCAATGCATTATGGTCAGATAAGATACAGACTTATTATTTCCTACTTCATGATGTCTTATAAGCGGTAATTATCTATCAGCAGATTTAAGCAAGCGACACATAATGGATATCTGACTAGTGGAACAGAAACAGCCACTGAAGTATGCCCGAAAAGAGGGGGGGGGACTACCCCAAATTAATCTGATTTTGTAGCATGTAGGTTTTCGGTTTCAGAGAGAAAGCGAGTTATACCCTTCATATGTATGAGTTCAACCTATTATCATTATTTGCAATATGCGAAGTTCAATATTTTGTAAATTATTTTGTTCGATAGTTATTTAAAAAATTATATTTTGTCTTCATACCATGCTAGGACCACCGTATTTAACTTGTCAAATCTTTTTCTAAAAAAAATATGGAACAAATAAAGTCAAACAGATTGCATCACATCAAAGGTGTCTCAATTCATTTTTTTCTGATGAAGCCACCAACTAACCAACGTGATCGCCGCAACCCTAAACAATATTATAAAACCAAAGACGAAAGGTACATGTAGAATTAATCGTAAAATGGTCAGCTTACTGAAGTCAGTCGGAAATTCCTGTAGTTTAACTGGAATGTACCGTAAGTATGCATTGTAAAGAAAAATGCAGCATCTGCAGTGGTGGATTCAGGGGGAGGCGTAGAGGTCGTATGCCACTCATTTTATTGGAAAATATATGTTTTTTACCATAAAATCATCAAAATTTTGTTTTCTTCACTTTAATGTAATTACGCTCCCTTTCAAAAACCCTGATTTGTTACAAAAATCCATGTTTATTTATATTCAAAAACGTAAAATCACAAAAATACTGAACTCCGAGGAAAATTCAAAACGGAAAGTCCCTAATCAAATGGCAAAATCAAAAGATCAAACACATAAAACGAATGGACAACAACTGTCATATTCCTGACTTGGTACGGGCATTTTCTTATGTAGAAAATGGTGGATTAAACCTGGTTTTATAGCTACCTAAACCTCTCACTTGTATGACAGTCGCATAAAATTCCATTATATTGACAACGATGTGTGAACAAAACAAACAGACATAATGGGTAAAAATGTCAAAAATTGGGGTACAGCACTATAAACACAAACAAATATGTAACAAAGAAGCACAAAAGGGCACATAGACAAAGCACATGAAGGATTCAGTTCCGTCCTCTTAACAATTCTCGATTCTAATTATCTTACTGTTACTGATACTTTGTTACATAAAAGAGTTTTAAAAAGTGACGTAAACTGAAAGTTTGAATATCTTACTCTGAAATTCAGAACACTACTGTGCTTCTTCGAATTGTATATGTCTAAATCTGTCAGCTCAAAAAAGAAAGAAAGAAAAGTAAAAAAAATGAAATAAATAAAAACCGCATCCCCTTCGCACATATTCGTAAGGTAAAATCAGTATTCCTATGGCAACCGGATTACAAAAGAAGTTTTACAGCTATGTCTAGCACATTGAAAAGGGTATTAATTTCAGTACGATGTCTATGAAGAAAACAATGGATAAAAAATAATTGAAAAAAAAAAATGGTAGGAAAGAGCACATTAATTTCATTTTATAATATTCACAGGCTATGCTGCCCATCCAGCTTAGATATGAAAACCAGAGATAAACAAAAATATAACTTTGTGGATAAGTATCTATAAAGACACGAAAAAACGACAAAAACAATTAGTGCATGTCGTAAAAGTTTGACATAATAAAAATTATAAGCCGCTTCATTAAAAAAAAAATCATTGTCCTCTGACAAACAATTGTTTGCTTCTCGATCAATGTATCCGACAAAGCTCTGGGTTTTCAGATATGAAAGTATGCTGGAAATATTTGGAAAACCCGGAAAATGGCAAAAGAAACCATTTCAATGAACGTATTTTCCAAATATTCAGATGTCTAGATTTGAAAATCTTTTAAACAATAAAAGAAATGTTTATAAAACTATAGAAAGAACTTAATTTATAAGACAATATACGCTCCAAACAAAATTATAACGACGCAAATTTAGGGCAATTGAGAAACTATACAAATGTCTTTTTTTCAACAGTCCAGAAGTATTAAGGTAGTATACTTTTATACGGGCCGGAAAACTTAAATTGAAAACTCTCACCCTGATTCTTCCATAATGTCATAAAAACTACGATGAATTGAGACTACACAAGTAAACAAAACAATAGTAAAATCAAATTCAATCCTCATTCCACATATTTTAGGACTTTCCATGTTTCACTATCGTCATAATATATGGAATACAGCTTTTCTTCCACTAAGTCTCTCACATTTTATTACTTTCCAGTTGAAAAAATGCAAATAAATCCAACCACTACTACTATTTTCAGTTGTATTTCCACTGCTATTGATTTTCGCCATATTTTGATGTTTTTCTTCAGAATTTAATAACAATTCGAACTGAGAACGCATGTTCTGTTACGAGGCTGCGATAAGTTATTGGTAAACACGGGTTTTTCCATGATGCTCCAGAGTTTTTAATTGATTAATCTCATCATTAGAAAATTTGCATAAAATATTCATGATTAAAAAAGATGATTATAACAAGTTATCAAAAATATTATCACAATTTTCTTTAAATTGAAAATCGATCATTTGAAGGACAATTCCTTAGTAGAACCTCTGTTTGTGCAACATTGCCGCATTAATTAATTAATGACGTCATTCCATTGTTGACGATCTGAGCACCACAGAGCTTGAATTATGTCCCTTGATAAATCTGACACTGACCTTTTAATTAAACAAACCACACTTACGCAAAACCAAAACAGGACAACATTTTAAAATATAAATAAGCTATATACAAATATTATTGTTCGTAACAAGAGATCAATAATACGGATTGTTCCAATATGCTTCTATTATTCACAACTGCAGCAACATCACAATTTGTTGACAAATTAAGTTTAATGTTTTTACTCTTTAAACTAACAAATATACTTAATATAGAACAATACAGTCATATGAATGTCTAGCTTAGTATCATTCTACCTTTTAATTTTACTTACCTTTCGGAGAATACTATATGTTTACATTTTATCGAGTACTGTGGTTGACCTACTACAATTTTAAAAATAGATGATACTGAAAACGGAAAACGCAGAAGTATTTAAGTCCATTTAAACGATATCCATTTAGAAAATAGTCCCTTGAAACGGTGTCATACATTCCATATTTTGGCTATAGGTCCAGTTTCATTAAAATTTCATTTTTCAAAAGGCATTTCATTACCATTTTGCGGAAACCTGTACTCTGCTTATCGATCGTACACATGCTAAGTAGAGTGTGGCCGAGGGATATCTAATACTGGCATGTTGTAAAATATAAACAAAACTATATTTGAAGACAGGGTTGGTTTTCTTCCATTTATGGATTTTGTGTAATTTTTGGTCACCGAAGAGAAGATATTTTCCCTATTATTTGAGGTACATAGCAATGTAGCTGAGATAATTTAAAGTTTATTTATAGTCGATTGGAAAGCCCTTTGAACCTCAATAACTATCGTCAGCTGATAGTTGAACTCGCATAATAAATATTATGTTTTGGGTTTTCCACAAATTTAAATCCCATTTTATACATTAAATGACACTTTAATGGTCACTATTCATATTATCGAGGACTGAAATAGTTGTCTTTTCAATTGATAATCGATTTTAAAAAAGAATAATTTCTATATCCCGTTTCTGAATTTGTGTTTTATAATATAATTATCATAATCAAATCCATGCTTTATTCTAATTGGAATACATGTGGAGTTCTATTGAATAACGAATATAATGCATATTTGTTTTTATTCATTTATGCCAGTCCAATTTATTTAGGACACCATACATTTCTCTTCAAATAAAAAACATATTTGGCAAAGAAATTTGCACTTTTAAATAAAACGTCAAGTTTTATTATACAATAGCATCAGCTAGCGATCATAAATAATTAAAAAATAGGTTAATAATGCATGAATGCTCAGATATATATGTGTCCATCAATGAACTTTAAAGCAGAAATAGACTCTAAATTGCAATTATAGATTTAGTTTTAAAAATATTAAATACAATTTTGGGATCAAAGAACCGTTCTATAAAATGTATTAGTACATGTAAGAACCTCGATACAAGCTTAGAGGATTAACCGACGTAATTCTGAACGTTCTTAATCGCAAGAACTTCTACCATTTAATATAAGAGGACAACTTTTTGGCCCCTTGAATATGAACATCAAAAATTGCTGAAAACGTATCAATTATCATTCCTCAGATTTTTACAATATAAAAGTCTATCATAAATACGTGTTTGTTTTAAGAACTAAATCTTCAATGCAAGAACTGCCAAAAAATGCCTAATGTTGTTCTTATCGTCCTGAACATTCCTGAAATATTTGCCACTGGACGTTAAGCAACCAACCAAGTCAAATCAATATATTGTGCTGTTACACCACTGTCTCAGGTTGGGGGCGGGTTGAACGCTAACAAACAAATTAAAACCACATTATATTTATGCCTGTCCTAGGTACAAATGTAGGTCAGGAGCTTGTAATTAAGTAGTTGCCGTTGTTTGATGCGTGTTATATTTGTCTTTCGTTTGTTCTTTTATCATAAAAGTGGCCGTTGGTTTTCTCGGTGGAATTGTTCAACATTTTGTCATTTTCGCACTTTTTTCTCTGAATATACGGTATGAGTTTTGCTCACTGTTAAAGATCGTAAGATGACCAATAGTTGCTTACATCCACGTTTTCAGACTCATTTGGGTAGTTGTCTCATATCACATATCCTTATTTAATATTTAGATATAAGTCACAGTCTCTGTTGAACTTGAAGATACTTTGTTGCAACACTGTTTTACTATAGAAATAGATCCATAACATTTGCTCAAAACAGGTTCTACTGGAATACTAAATGCCGATTTATACTGTATTACATCTGCGTTCATAGTTAAGGCAGCAAGAAGTACACGGACTCGACTTCCCTATTCCTTTTGAACCCGTCTATCTAGGTGCAAAAGAAGCAACGTGTACTTCCTATTTGATCATTCCCTTAAAAAAGTGTACTTTACATAGTGGTGTCGGATTGTGGGACGTATTGAATGAGGCGCTTTTTAACACTTGATTACTAGTATACAATTAAGGGTTTATTGCACAGAAATGGAAACCTACACTTAAATAGGTTATATGTACTGTAAGAAGTGGAAAATTGTGTATTTCAAAACTACAAAAGCTAGACTATCAATAAGCTTTTATAAAACGGAACCTTAAACGATTCTTGATACTACATGAATGGAATCTGATATCCTTTTTTAGTAGTTAGGTATGTGCACTGATATCTGCAGCCTTTTAAGTAGTTCTGTACACTATCTCGTTACTAGTTCGTCCAGAGTTTATAATAATGTCCATGTTTATTGAGATCTGATGTTTTTGGGTAGTTCAGTATGCTATCTTGTAAGTAGTCTATCCAGAATCCATTAGCACTGAGATCTGCAGCTTTTGGGGTAGACCAGTAAACTATCTTATTAGTAGTCTGTCAAGAGCTCATTAGCACTGAGAACTGCAGCTTTTTTGTGTTGTCCAGTAAACTATCTTATTAGTAGTCTGTCCAGAGTTATTAGCACTGAAATTTGCAGATTTTTTTGGGGTAGTCCGGTACACCATATTGTTATTAGTCTACCCAGAGGCCATGTGCACCGAGATCTGCAGCTTGAGCGACTAACACGATTACTGCAATAAACGTACGATGAATGAGCTTGTCTGAACTTTATGTCATTAAATTCTTTCCGCCAATACTAACTAATTTAAGGATACTCAAGATAATAATTTGCCACAGAGAGTTAACGAAAACGGAAGACTTGATCATTGATTGTTGCTTGCTTATGCCCTGTTGAAAATTGTTCATGCACATACAGTAATAAATAATATAAAAAGATATGACGAAGGTATACGTCATCTCAAATGTTAAAGATACAGACACAACAAACTAAACATAAACTCATCATAGCTACCAGGCTTAAGTTTGTACACCAGACGTGCGTTTCGTCTACAAAAGACTCATCAGTGACGTTAGAATAAAACAAATCTAAAAGGTAAAATAAAGTACGATGTTGAAGAGCATTAAGGACATAAAATTCGGAAAGATATTACCTGGTAAAGATAAAGGTAATCTATTCCTGGGATCATGTCAGTGAAAAAGCAGGAATCTCAAGATGAACGGAGGGAGGTTCCACACCACTATGTACATCCTGCTTTACGCCATTTGTGCGTTTTCAATGTTAAAGCATTAACAAGTGTTACGGCAAAGATTTTTACAAGACCTGTATTTTTTTTTTTTTTTACTTCTGATGATGATAGTATACATAAATGGGATTAATTAAAACATTAACATTCTCAATGAAACGATCAAATCATAAGTCTTAATAAAATAATCTACATCGGCTTACTTGTAATAAGAGATAGAGAGAGAGAGAGAGAGAGAGAGAGAGAGAGAGAGAGAGAGAGAGAGAGGGGGGAATGGTGGCTCGGATTTGGTGTATATATGCATTTAAACTGATATAGAATAAAACAGATACATTAAATCCCTGCATGAGAGAGAGAGAGAGAGAGAGAGAGAGAGAGAGAGGGGGGGATGGTGGCTCGGATTTGGTGTATATGTGCATTTTTCAAATCTTTCCCAATATAAGTTATCCTTAATAAACTGATATAGAATAAAACAGATACATTAAATCCCTGCATTATGTACAAACAATTGCCTGTCAACAAAGGTTCGATGAGACGAAAACTTGTTGCTTTATGGAATACTAAAGTCCATTGATTCAAATGATTCTAAGAAATGTAACTTAATTATTTTTGTTTATTAAATAACATTTTTGTATCATTACAATGAGTAACAAAAAGTACACACTTTTGTACTTTTACGTTAGCAGTTAAGTGTTCTACTTTTCCACTAGGATTGAACTTTATATAGAGTAAAAACCGCAAACTGCAGAAACGATTTACTCTGTCATGATACTGGTTCAGTAAGTACAAGTACTTAATCCCCTTTGGATTATTCGTCCTTTGGATATCGATGGCAGTATGAGACAGATATTGATAAGGGACATTATCATGTCTCGTTAGTGTTTTAAAAATGCATGAGTGTTTATTTTTATTTATTTATGGTCGCATACAGCTGTACCAACACAATGTTTTTATTCGTGTTTTTTAAAAATCACTAACGATTTACAATAAATACAAAAAATAATTACTGGTATTACAATTATCATTGATGGTATATCATTTTGCGCTATCATGATGAGGTGTTTTATTAGAATTTAGAGTATTGGATAAATCTAATGATTTATCAATCTGCACGTCTTAGAGTTTCCTACCTGTCATAGCCTCGAACAATGGACTGTTGAAGTACAGTTTTCTTCTGTGTACTTATTTACAAAAGAAAATTGTTGTCCTAGGGTTGTTAATGATAACCAATGATAAAACAATAAACAAGTTTACTTTTATAGACTGTTATTTTCATTTCCTAATTCTGATGCTGTCGGAAGTAACTTTTAAAAAAAAACATTATATAGGAAAGAGGAATAAGACTCCTACTGAGTTCTGTTTTCACAATAATAAAAACTTTATAACAGCTTTTATCTTATCACATTGTATACGTACAATCCAACTTGCATGATATTGATAAAAATGAAATGATATTTCTCAATTTTCTTTTGATGGTAATATGAATAAAGGAACAAAAATGTTGCAAAAGTCTTGTCATTCTTTTAAGCCTAATGCATGTAGATGCATTGATTACAGTTATAAATATAGTACATTTGTCTAACGTATATTGTATATAGAAATAAGAAGATGTGGTATGATTGCCAATGAGAAAACTATCAACAAGAGACCAAATGACACAGAAATTAGCAACTTATTTGGGTTTATGTATCCCATTCAGATGAAGTATATACATTTTGACTTTCTCTATATGTATCCATTCGGCCTCGGTGGTTGAGTGGTGTAATTGTTTATCTACAGTGATACTACTGAACTTGTGAGTTCAAATCCCACTCGTGGAAAGATGCGTTCAATTCCAATCTTAAATGACTATGATCGCCAGTATTCCAGCCGAATGTTGGTGGTTCTCTCCAGTTTCCTCTACAGGAAAAAACTGGTCATCATGATAAAACCATGATATAACTGACAGTAGCAATAAACACCAACAATCAACCTTTCAATTTGATCTCATATTCTGTACATTCCTCAACGGAATCGATATTGAATTGTTAAATGTTACTCTAAACAATTTGTTGGGTTAAATTTAGTTTCCTAAAAAAATTATGATTCTCATGTCCAGTTTCGCGTGAACATTAAATGTTGATAGTAATAGATATGCATTGAGAAAATTAACAATCCAGGTTTTATATGATTATTTAAAATCACATTAGCTGCAATTGTTTCAATGAATGTGTAAGATGAGTATATTCAACATACTAGGTTCCCAAGGACTTTCCCTTTGATATGTCTTCATGTTGTTGATTGTAATAAATGTTGGTAGTAGCAATTCCATTGTTAGAAAATGAAATATTTAAGGGATTTTTCTTTTTCATCATGTAGTTACTCTATTTAGACTGGTTTCAAAAGGCGTATCACAAATTATTAATAATACTAATACAAAGAAGACAAAACACCATTACAGGTTTTTTCTAGTAAATAATCTCTGATAAGCCTTGACAAAGTTAACGAATAGTGAGAAGTAAAAAGTTTGAATGTAGTGTGTTGCAAGTTGGAAAATAAATAATTTAAAAGTTTAAGATACTGATTCAGACTTCATCGATTAAGTTAATGTTGAAACGAGGCAAAACCTCCTGTCATGACTTTGGTGTTAGACTTGAATTAACTAAAGAATTAACAGCATCACTGGACTTAAAAGATTAACAATCATACATCATATGACATACATTGTATGTCTTGATCCTTAAGCTAGCAATTTTCTTTGAAAAATGGGCTGTTAAGTCTAGTGGTAACTTTTTTATGATCCTATTCATAACGGATCCCAGGGTTATCATAAAGATAGATCGGTAGTCTCAGCCGGTAAAACAAAGGACTCTTGAATTTGCTGTTAGATGTGAGGTTTTGTTCCGTGATTGAATTGCTACGTACATGACTTCTAGAAGGACAACACTAAAAGCTTTGTCATCTACGGGTTTGGCTTTTGTGTCATGACTACATGTAGTTACATAATTTTCCGTCTTCCCATTTTTGTTTGATTTATTCAAAAGTTGTCTATACGTGCGTGGATTTAGAGATTGATATATGATATAAACATGTACACTCTTCTATTGTTGAAGACCTCTTAACATGTTTACCTATGGAAGTCTTTTATTGGTTTATAAATTGCAGTGTTTCTGTCTGATAGACATATATCTCACACATGTAAGGCACCATTAAATGGTATACAGGAATATATATCAACTATATTGTTGTTGTTCTACATTCTTACAATAATTCAATGTAAGCAAAACTTCCATGATTGAACTCGAGTTCCACATCTAAAAAAATACGATTATAAAGACTATTTACATGTATATGAGTATGTTGTTTAACTATCATAGAAGAACACCTGTTGCAGTACACAGTATCTGCAGCAATCTAATTAGCACTGTCATCCTAGATGGGACAATCAATGACTTGGACAAAGCAATGCGAAAACAGCTGGCAAATGACCTTTCAATTAAGCCTGTTACAGTCCTGAATGAAAAGAAATAGATTTTTTTCCATACGTTAACTTATTTTAATGGTCAATTATACCAACGAATGGAGAAATCAATTTGTTGTTGAAATAGTTGAGTGTTTTTGTAAATCCGTCCACATCTGTATACAAACATCATGCTATCAAGTAGTAGGTCATGAAAGGTCTGATCGTAATTGAGAAATGTAATATTTGACTGAAGACAATACCAAAAGATCCTTACAATCGATACATTGGTCATTAATCATCGTTATATGGACACTATTTGGTCAGATCGAATTAGTGGTACTGGCTATATCGTTTCACCGTTACAACGTTATGTTTTGTATCTTTGCTCATTAATCACAAAGAGGTGAAAATAAAGTCTTTCCAGTCTCGTTTATCAAGCTATAGGTCAGATGAAGTCTGTGTGTTCTCCGTTCTATATGTTGTTTTTTTTTGCAATCATTCAGCATGTAAGTACAATTTTTAAATGGCGACGATAATTTAATTGGATATTTATTAAATATCAGGTCTAGAGGGAAAAAAAATTAGGACAAGAGTTACTTTAACATATTTAACGGATCTAAAGAAAAAAATGGCCAAGAGAATATAAAAGGGAAGGGTTTACCGGGTAAATTTTGATGTATCACTGCTTAACACGAATCCAAGTCAATTTACTACTGTGGTGTAAGAGGTCCTTAACTTGCAGTAGGCATACACATTGGCCATCAGAATTTATTGTCCAAATTCAATTGGAATTTTTTCAACGTAATTATACTTTCAATATAGCAACGAACACTAACTATATCTGGATGAACTATTTTCCGATTTAGCAACGAATTATACATACAATTCATTGACTCTAGGACTACGGATATATTTCAATACTAGTAACTTATATACCTTAAGAGTTAAAATGATACTGTCCGTTTAAGTTATTAAATTATGACAAACTAAAACATGCTCACATTTCAGATAATTTAAAATGTAAAATGGACGAATGTTTAACAACATATATATAGTACATGGATGTCAGGACGAGACCTACAGACTGTTAAAGGGCAGTTCACAAGGTTACAGACAAAAGGAAAAAATGTTAACCAGCCTCATTATTCCCATTATTCTCACTGCCACACGAAAGAAATATTGGTAGGTATGCCAGACATATATATGGGGTTTTGCTCATTATTTAAGGCCGTACGGGACCTAAAGTTGTTTATATCTAAGTCATTTGGTCTCTGGTGGTGAGTTGTCTCATTGACAATCATACCACATATCTAATTTTTATAAACACTGAAATAATTGCAGATGACGATTGTTGTGTTATTACTGGCGTGTACACAGACGGAAGTACACTTTGTGTCTGTTGTTATACTCTCATCTCAGGTTTTTGTTAAAAGCTTTGCTATTTCCACTTAGGAATACACTACAGATGTTCTGTTTTCCACGGAGATTACATAATCACAGTTAGTCCTGCATTGTTGTAAACTGTTGTACTATATACTATGTATATGACAGACCACTGATAATTTGTAAAATTTGTCGTTCGACCTATTGTATATAAGGCTAGTCTGATTTACAATCGAAAGTGTTATCATATATCATTATATGAATATTTAGGGTACACGTTAAAGAGACGGCTGTCAAAAAAAAATGCCAAAAGAAACTTAAAGATGAACATACGGGTTTTAACAATAGACAAGTGTTCATGAAAAAGAGAGCAATATGTCAAGCTCTCAAAATCGCCAAGAGTCTAGAAAACTTGATTAAAAACAGAAACATCACACCTTTGACATAAATACCGAATTCCTTAAATGAAAAAAGAAATAAAGATATGACAGGAAACAAACACGTACGTGGCTCAAGACTTTGGCATAGCACATACACATGTAAAAGGAATTACATTGGTGGGTTTTAATGTTTTTCAATCCCACTTTTTAATCACTATCAGAAGAAAATCAAAACATACATGACAATAGTCTAAGAACCTAAAATAAATATCAGTATATGCAGAGAAAGCCCTCAAATCTATGATACGGGCATAATAGATCATAGCAAAAACACAAATACAAATACAAGTAAAACAGAAACACACAATGACGAATCAAAAATTAAAAAAAAACTGATGATACGAATTCATGCCTTCCTACACTGTATTATCGGCGGCCAAGTCTGTTGTCAGAAATAAGCGATGGCGAAAGTTGTATGTAATTTTTTTTTCTATTCTTAACAAGATAATACCAGGAACTGTTAATTTTGTCACCACGTGGTAGAGGAATTTAAACCCAGTAAAGATCATTGGTCAGCGAATAATCGTATAAAGGAAGAAAACGATATTTGCATATTTTTAAAGACCACTGACGAGATAAATTGTTGCTTTATATTAATGTATATCTTATATATTAAATAAGTTTCCAAGTCATCGAAACATTACTCATCAAACCGATATATTCCAGGACTCAAAAACTATAGCTGCTTCTATTTGCAATTGCTCTACTTTCTCAACACCAATGTTTGTGTCTGACTATAGAAATCCGAATATAAATATGGTAACCTGGACCTCTCTATTCTATCCCTGTATACAATTACCGTTCTTCAATGGAAAAATCAAAATTTAGGATTTTATCCCGATCGTTCCAATTTGCAGAATTAACCTTTTTAATTGCAATATGCACGAAACGACGGGACGCTAGGCAAACAATAATCAATTAATCTCTGTATTGATCTCTATAAACCAATCTATCATTGCCGCAGACTTCTTCAGACAAATATATTACCGATGTTCCCTCTTTACATTTCTGATCCACGATATATAATCTTGTTAACAAACTTCTATTTATCTTTATTGTAATCCTCAAGTTGAGGACATTTTTCAACCATCAAAGCAATATTCTTTTGTACAATGCATGGGACATTTGAATTAAAGGAAATGCCAAATGAAAGGAAATTGGCATGTATTACAGAAAAACGGAAATACATTAATTCTTGTCTAATTAAGTAGTCATTATTGTCTTGATAATAACTCTTGTAGGTATTATTATATAAATAGAAAGTATTTTGTATTATTCTTGGGAATAACTGTTAACTGTTTATTCTCGTTGTCAACGTGTGTGTTGACGCAATTTACCTATTTCGGGTTTTACTAGACTATAAATCCTGTACGATTTATTATAATGTTGTCTGAAATTGTGTTTATCGTGATTTTGCCATAATGGTTGTTTGCCACATACATATAAAACAGAACAAGCAATATTTATTAACAAAATGAAATGGTTGATATCTGCACCAACAACAAACACATATCCCACTGCGGTGGTCAATTATTAGTTCCAGATTTACTTTGAATTGAAAGGAACCGCGGTCCAAAAAGCAAGTCAAATAGCATTTTTGAATTATTATTAAAAATAAGAAACAGATTTCCACCAAATATCGTACAATACGATATTTCCCCACTTTGGAAAGTTAGATTTTTAATATTTTACACACTCGGCGAGCCTCGAGTTTGATTAAATTTGAAAATTTAAATATCTTATCACATTCGATGCATAATAAAATCTATATTTATCAGAAATTTAAGTACATGTACATACATGCTTATGTATAATATGATGCTAAATAATATTATGAACACAATGATACTTAGTATTTTATATACTCTAAAAAGGAAACTTTTGAATAAGGAAATCTTAAAATCAACAAAAATGCACACGTTGTCGTGCTAAACATACCACAGTCGTAATTCAAAGTATCTGAAAACCAGGAAATAGGTGTCTGAAAGATAGAATAACACACACACCCTACTACTCATCACTGTTGAGCTACTGACCAAATATGAAGTAAATCTGTAGGAGTTGCTTAGAAAAGTGTGATGGAAAATCTTAAATTTTTAAATAATTTATTTAACATATTAAAAACTTTCAAAGAAGTAAGTATCTAACAGAACCGAAAAAGTGATCAAACGATACATGTGCAACTCATCACCGTCAAGCGGCTGACCAAATATGAAGTCGTTCTGATCAGTAGTTTCTGAGAAGTCCGACGAAAGTATTTGTTGGTAGAACGAACGGACGGACGGACAGCTAGATATACACGGTGATTGCAATAAATTATGACAAAGGATGTGAGGACTAACATCATGAATGAAGTTGCAAAGATTCAAAGTCATTGTGGGAATCTTTTTGTATTGTCTTCAAACCAATTAACAAATAATTTACTAATGTGTTAACAACTAGACATGGACTATTTATTTTCTGACCAACATGCATATTTGTTTAGATAATTTATGTGTCATAGACTAAAATTTAAGGTCTTGAGTCATTATTGAACGAGTCGACAACCCTTTTTCTTTTAACAATCTGTTAACATTGTATTTAAGGACAAGAAAGGTACATGTAAGACAATACTAAAGAATAAAACGAAATGAAACTGTGAGCATTCTTTGATGTCGTTTTATCAAGTATTTGCTTGCCAGTGGATTGTTCGTCTGTAATACTAACATTGCTCGAGTTAATTTTTTGGGTTCATCTCTGCAACTTTAATTATTCCACTAACGAGATAAAATATACGAGATAAAGTCTTTTAAACTGACTATTAACCTCATGTCACCCAACGGGTTGACACGGGTATAAGAAGTATTGTCACCCATAGACTTTGAACGTTTGGTTTTGCAGGATGTATAAATACGCAACCACGTTCGGTCTGAATACGGACGTAAAATTCCGTGTCAAACTTTCATTATTCCACTAACGAAATAAAATGTACGAGGTTCAGTCTTTAAAACTACTTAATAAACTCATTAAAAGTACATCGCTTGCCACCCCACAGGTTGACTCGGGTATAGAAGAATTGCCACCCATGGACTTTGCACATTTGACAGTGAAGGATGTATAAATACGTACCCACATTTGGTCTGAATACGGACGTAAAATTCTGTGCATCGTGTAGGAAGAATGGCGCGCTATATTTACGTTTAAAAACATTTGGAAAAACTCTTGAGAGATGCCTACGTGATCTTTTGCAAGGCAATATATTCGCTATCAATCCCCTCATTTTCAAGTTAAAATCGAAATACGCCCCTCATCTTGGTCGCGACACACTTTGCAGAACTTACCAATTGAATTATTGTTAACATGTTTTCGTCATGAAAATACATTTGCCACTCGACGTTAAGCAAACAACATTCAATCAATCACATATTCTATTCATTTATATGCCAGTTCACCTTCAGGTTTCTAAGGTTATGAGCTTTTGTTTATTGTTGATGGCAGACCTCTGGGTCGCTGTCTCATATTGTTGTATAATTCGTGTTTCTTTTTATTCAATGTTACATTCTATAAAATATAAAATAATTAAATTTTGAATCTTTCATTGGATATTTTGCCATTGAAATAGATGGAAGAAAACTGATTTCCGTTATTGGTTTCATTGTTATATCTCATTAAAATTTAAAACCTGTTATAAGTTCTTAACGTCCTCACAAAATGATTACAATGAATTCCGAAAGAATGATTGATTCCATTGGCAAATACTCCATCATACTGCGATTCTTTAAGTGCTGAATGAAACTGAGCTCATAAGAGCCAAGGTAAAATCCAGAGAAAGATCGATATTCTTTTTTTAAAGATAAACAAAACAACAGTAATTCATCAACATTAAAGGACACCATCTTGTCCGATGATAAACAAACGAATTAGCGAAATTGATTTCGACAATAGATGTAGATAGCGGCAAATTAAACAAATTGATAAATCAGAAAATCCTGAGATCTGATTTCTGTACAGATCATATATTGTAAACTAAAGCAGATGTGCAATATATTGATCGCATATAGTTAAACAACAAAAATAATCTTTCAACGTGTCAATATTAGTGACACTAATTGAAAAAAGAAACGAAACCGGTACACGAATTGCTATTGAAACAGCGGGTATTATTTCGATTCGTGTTTAGTGAATGTAGAAATGTTGTTATTTGAATCTTTATTGTTAAAATGCATAAATTGTTTATTTTATTGTTAATCCTTTACACGGATATCCAATAATTCAAATTTTGAATTTAACAGTAAATCTATTGAAAAAAGAAAATGGTAGTTACATGTTTATTCTACAATTACGTGTGTGATAATACAAAGGAAAACTGCACCGATCCCAGCATTAAAAGCAATATTTGGAAACATCAAAGGCAACGAACATATTATTATGTTTTATCAATAATTAATATTGTTTCCTAACCAATTCATCAACCTATTTACGGGAAGAGTGATAAACCAGATATTTAGTGCTTGCAATGTGATAGGGTGGACTATATAAATCATATCTAAGCACTGAACGTTCTGTGACAGAATTTCTTTGACCATTTTTTTAAGTTCTTTGAGTCCCGAGTCAATTCAAGATAGAAAGACTTCAAAAGAGTTTAAAAGACAAAATAATGATGTTAAAAATTAGTACATGAACTGGGTGCATAGTTTTTCACAAGTTGAAAGTCAGACACGATGTAGGAAGAAAATAATAAGAGCTATTCAAGACTGGCAATCGAAAATGGATTTAAATCGGGACACCATGCGTTTAATTCACTTGCTAAAAGAATCTCAGTGACAGAACGCTCAGTGTCTGGAGATGTTTTATCAAGTCTTTCCTTATTTGCCAAATCACATTTGGGTTTCTAAGTCCTCCAGGTCAGAACGCAAGCACTGCATGTCTGGATTTTACGCTACCTGTGAATAGCTTGGTCGTTATGTTAGTGCTACCTTTTGAGATCAATAGCATTGTCTATAGTCTTCGGTTTTGTGTAGAAGGCATGACTACCCGCTTCCTTCTCGATGACCCCTGGCACAGCCTCATTACTACCTGCTGAAACAGATGATCTTCTGATAGGTCATGAAAAGCCGTGGTGGTTAATGAGAGGACCCTATCGGCCCAGTACTACTAGTTTTCTTTTTGGGACTGACTATTATTATTGAACTGCGGCTAGGGGTCGTTGGTATATCTTTAAAACGAAATCGCTTTTCCAGTTTCTGTATTAAGTCTCCAAATACCAGGAGAGCATAGTATTAGCTAGCCTTGTCATCTAGGCATCATCACAACCGATCCCTGCACTACAGAATAAACAATCTAATAATGTTTGCGTATCTGGGAAACCTGGCACAGAAAACTTGTTTATAGGCAGGTTTAATGTAGGTTTTATAGGCGTTAGGTTTTGGTCTAGACGTTTCCCCTCTCTATTGGTCCCTGTTTACTTAATTCCTCCTTTCGTGTTGTGAAACATCCATGTGACTGTCCCAATGGTACTGATAAAATTGATTTCTTGTAGATTTGGTTTCGTAACTTCGATATACAATCATTCCGGTGCAGTCTATGCACCAGAAAATCCGGACGTTCCCTTAAAGAACACTCTTCTCTCCTTTCCAGCACTGGAAGACGGGCTATCGTACAAAGATTTTGATCATACATAAAGAGCAAGAAGCAGGAATCTTCAGGTATAACAACTCTGAAAACAATGGATACCTCCCCAGCGACACACCAACAAAAGCTGCTATCCTTAACAACCAAATCCATTCAGTACATTCTCAGGAAACCCTTAACAACATGCCAGATAAAGGGCCAAGCCCATACCCAACCATGAGACCAATAAAATAAGCCAGAACGGTGTCACTAAACTTCTTAGAGGACTAGGACCTTTTAAGGCAATTGGCCAATATGACATACCAGCCTTCATCTGTTGACTGTACCAACTATCAATGGATCAGGAATCAGTATCAGAAGATTTGAGGACAGCCAACATCAGCCCAGTCTTTTAGAAAGGTGAAAAACACTCGGCAGCAAACTATCGTCCAGTGACCCTGACATCAATTACATGTAAGCTACTAGAGCACATAGTCCACAGTACTATATACTATGGATCACTTTGACAGAAACACCATACTGTGCGATGAGCAACATGGGTTTAGAACCAAACGATCAAGTGAGTCCAAGCTGCTAATAACAATACATGAAATAGCTAAGAACATAGAGGACAACGACCAGGCAGACATCATCTTGTTAGACTTCGCCAAGGCCTTTGATAAGGTACCAAATGCCAGACTGCTTCACAAAATGGACTACTACGGGGTAAGAGATATCAAAATCGAATGAGTTAGACAGTTCCTGTCCAATACAACACAGTCTGTGATCCTTGAAAATCATAAGTCTGACCCTCTTGACGTGGTATCCGGAGTACCCCAGGGCACTGTGATGGGTCCTTTACTCTTTCTGGCCTACATCAACGACCAGAAGCAACAACATCAAGCGCTGGAGTGTTTGTTGATGACTGTCTCCTCTTCCGACGCATCAGGAAAACAGAAGATTCAGATTTGCTGCAGATAGATCTCGCGTCGTTGAAAGTGTGGAAAAGGGAGTGGCAAATGTGTTCCCATCCAGAAAAATGTACAGTCAGCAGTGTTTCAGGACGACGGCAACAACACCAGACGTCCTACTCACTTCATGGACATACACTAGAAACAGTAGACAGTGGGAAATATCTTGGGCTCACCATCAGCAAAGATCTCACCTAGACAAACCACATCAACCAGACCATAGGGAAAGCCTCCAAGATACTCGGGTTCTTGTGGAGAAATCTGGGTAGGTGTACTCCAGCAACAAAAGCCACAGCATACTCCACCTTAGTAAGACCTACTCTAGAATATGGCTGCCAATAATATCATTATTGTTTGACGTAAATTTTACATTGAGGTTCTGCAAAAGGAAATCACGAATTCACCAACATTCCAACTGACTCCGTTTTCGGAAAATGACATCTGTAACAAACATAAACCTTTAGCTACCTCACAACAAGCAGAACCGAATAATATGAAAGTTCAAACTATGTACTGGCTTCCGAAGCTGCACAAAACACCTTACAAATATAGATTTATTTTGTCTTCAAACCATTGTTCCACTACTAAATTGTCAATTCTAATTACTAGTACAATAAAAAACCTGGTAATAATTTGTTCAAATAAGGCCTATGAAAATAGTGAAATTGATTACTTTTGGAGTATCAAAAATCGTTGGATGTACTTGATAAATTGCATGCACATATTGGTGATTTCGAATCTGTTCAAAGGTTTGATTTTTCTACGCTATATACCACTTTGCTTCATAATCTCATTAAGAAAAAAGTCACATACCTAATCAAATGGGCATTTAATAAGACAGAATGCGAATATATATGTTCAATCTCTTTTAAGTCATTTTTGCGTGAACCCCCCGAGGGGTTCACGCTTACATATTGGTGAGTTTTGGAAGCTTCTATGGGCCATTCGATATCCTCGGAAACAAGATTCTCGGAACGTCTCGAAATTTTCGATCATTTATACTGGTAGTTATCTATGTAATTGATACGGTCCCTCTATTGATATGTTACCACGTGACATTGTTTTAATATTTCGACAAACAAAAGTTCATTTGTAGATCGGAAAGTAAAAATATAAAGAAAAGATTGCAGTAAGAAACCCATTTATATATTCCAACCTATTTGCTTTTGACAGAACATATGCGTTTTTATTTGAAAGTATAATGATATCGCAATTATATAATTTATGTTTTGAGACGGTCCCTGTACGTTGTTTGTGTAGTACTTAATACAACGTGTTATTGTACATTGTGACAATACACATGGGAATAATATACTGACATTAAATTATGTCCCAGAATAAACTGATTATTTCTGAACGTTTAACAAGTCATATTTGTAATTCCATCATAGTCTGAGCAAATGTTGGAAAGCAAGAAGAAAATGAACAAAACGATATTACTGTTAAATTTTTTATCTAAGGTCGAAAAACAGAAAAATAATTAAACAAAACGATATTCTGTCCAAATATATATTCAATAAAATTATTAAAGATTAAACTGAAACTAAATTTATCATTAATAGAAATACGATATAATATAATTGCTTGCACAATATGTAAGTCAAAATTTATTTTCCAAATTAAACATGTTAAACATAGAATAATACTTATATTATCTATCCCAATATGTACAAATACATTTTTGCAAAATTTAGAAGAATTGTTTGGGGCAAACACGTACAATACTTTTATTAATAGATATTTTGAACAAAGATTTCTCTCTTTCTTTCAGGAATGGAATCTACAAATAACTTTAAAAATGTTTCCTTGGCTATTATATATAAGTTTCACTATGCATACAAAAACTGTGTTTTAAAGTTATTGTTAAAAGTCTTTTTTGAATAAAGCATTTTTTTACCAGGCTCAAGCTAGCAGCCACTATTATTGGCGCAAATGGAAGATGGTTTTTTGGTGCAAATGAAATGCCAATTGGCGCAAAAGCCAGTGGCGGATCCAGAAATTTTCATAAGGCGGCCCACTGACTGCGTAAGAGGTCCGGTTCAGTCATGCTTCAGTGATTCCCTATATAATCAAACAAATTTTTCCCGTAAAAGGAGGGACCCGGGCACCCTGGGCCTCCCCTAAATCCACCTCTGAAAGCAAAGCACCGAATAGAATATAATTAATATTGTTACATTATCATCCCGCGGGTTTTAAGAGTAAAATACATTTATGAAAATCATATGCAACAGACGAGTACCAATTATCAGGAATGAAAACAAATAAATTATTATCTAATGTTTAAACTGTAGGGAATGAAAAAAGTAGTTGCATGGTAATAATTCACAAGAATTTTGAATCCTTGCATTTCACAAAAAACGTAATTAATATTTTACAATAATCCCGTATACTACGTATACGTTAGTAATTTTATACCGTTTACGTATGGTATTAATTATAAGTCTCTAGAAAATAGAAAGTTAGACTTGAAGAAGAGATTGTTTTGATAAAAAAATGTCCATTAATAAATACTTGACGTTTGTGTTTATTGATAGTATATTTTAAATTTCTGGAAAAGATTTATTAACAGCTAGGAATGTATGTAAACTAAATGTTAATTCTTTTTTTTTTGTTTTATAGTTCAACCTTATAGCATCTTAATCTTTGCAATGATTGCGCGATTTAGAAAATTGTATGCAGCTACCCTACAAACGTCTTGCTGTTTATTTACATAATATTACTGGTCATTACTATCATTATTACACCCTGTTCAAACGACACAACAAAATCGGATTTAAAATCTGGTTTAACTGCAGACAACAATATCGGTTTGCGTTGACAAATTCTGGATTGAATGGCAACGTATCAGGAGTCAAACCACTTGATGTTGGCGGTTTTGGGTCATCAATGCTCCTAAACTTTGTTCTATATTTGGCCTTTTTTTTCTTTTTTGATTCGAGCATCATTGATGAGTCTTTTGTAGTACTTTAATCCTTACCACGTGTCCATGATGAGTTTATTGATTTTCACCAAATATAAACTTTTTATATAAATTGGTTCTTTTGAGTGCTTGTTCAGGTATTCATAAGACTTATGAAAACAAAACTAAGTTTCCCTGTCGAATTTTTTAATTGATTTAAGTTACTTCAGGAAATACTTAAAACTTGAAATGTTTTGTCCAACCAAAATAATTTTCAGTATATAAAAGGTCATAATGAAGTTGGTGTGTTACTATCAAGAACAAAATACGAAATCTTCTTATAATTTGTGTCACAGAGTAACACTTCACATGGAAATTGGACTTTCAATTTCTCTATACTACCTCTTCTATTAGTACAGACAGCTTCAATGAGTATAAGAATAATTTAAAGCATACAGGAAACAAAATATGAAGATATGAAAGATAAAATAAACACATCCAGATTATAAAGCAAACTGAGTGCTGAACTATATCTTGATTGGTCTGTGCAATTGGCTTTAGGCATCCAGTCAGCAGAAATTGAGAATTGCAATATGATCAGGTCTTTGTACATAAAACACAGAGTAAAAATGATGTGCACTCCCAAAAAATAAAATAGTCAGGACTTAAAAGGTAATTTCAAATGGTAGCTGTATACAAATTTTCTATTTACAATTCAAATCCCACAGTGATTTTAATTGACTTGTGCAAGAATCTACACACAATAGCACATTTTCAATAAAGATCTTTTAATATTTTCATTACCTCATCCTATTAACAATTATTTATTTCAAATCAAAAGCAAAAATAAATTCAGCAATAAATATTTGGTGACCAGTCAGCGATCTCGGGTTCACGTATTGCTTTTCTTTTTAAAGAAAGCAACTTGTTTAGTAACAACAAGCAAAAGAACTATGTCAATTAGACGTGATTTGATACGCTAACTGCGCTTGAATTTTTACTAAATAACATTTTTGTTCGCTATGGAGATTCCGTATATCGTCAAGTTATGTTATCGGAATTCTAATGGGGACTAACTGTGCACCACTTATTGCGGACCTGTTTCTGTACTGTTATGAGTTAAAATGTATGACTAAAATCAGCAAAGACCAATCGAAACAACATCTGATACAAAAATTTAATAACACTTTTAGATATTTGGATGATATATTGGCTCTCAATAATGACTTCAGTATGTACACTAAAGAGAACTGAACCTGAACTGACTTTAAATAAAGCTAATACTAACAATGAACACTACCCTTTCCTGGATCTTGATATCTAAAACTTTAACGGGAAGCTTAATACCAAAATTTACGATAAAAGAGATGATTTTTCATTTTCCTATTTTAAGATGGTGACGTTCTCTTATCACACCATCTTATGGTGTTTTTATATCTAGACACACAATATTTAAATGATATGGTGTCGGTCACTGGCTGTCGACAATAAAGACTTCACGCAATTACAGTATGTCAGGGGCCTCTCAATAGGGATATACATAATTACTATTTTACACATGTTCATTCATAAAATATTTTTTTTTGCATTGAAGTTTATAGAAAGTTGTTTTGAATATATTTATATACTCACAGAAAAAGTTTCTTTTGAAAGAATGAGTATATTCAGAGGTGATATCAACAAGTAATCGAGAGAAAATAGCAATAGGTGAAAAATTAAGAAGTGTGTCAGTTATAGACAAGTAGTCCATCATGCATTGCAAATAATTCAGTGGATTGGTCAATCACCAAAATAAAAAAAAACGATTTATTTGTAAACAAACACAAATGCATGCATTGACGGGGGCATAAGTATGCTAAATAATACATGCCCGTATAAGGAAATGTGCCCGACCTGTTAAATGAAGCTGTTCTGTTGATTTGAAAAACGAATGGACAGACCACAGCGATTTAATTTAGAATTGTACTTATTTTTTTAATTTTGTGTTTCAGTATCTTTCCATGAATTAAATATGTTCACAATACCTTTTATACTAGAATAATCAAACGAGTGCACTCATTTTAAAGGTTATTATTACACTGTTACTGTTATGTTGACATACTAACCTGTACATTATCTCGTGCTACAGTTCACCAGTTTAGTCTTATGCACATGATTTATTATTCCAAAACAGATGTATTGTGAACATATCATTAAATTTATGGATATATATTGAAACACAGAAACCGAAAAAGAAGTGAGTACAATTTCAAATTGTTAGGGGGCGACCATTCCTGATTCAGTTAAAATAAGGGATGGGGTGGCTTTGCAAGAGGCTTTTGAAATCAGCATGAATAAAATTGCAAATAAACGTGTATGCAGAATTGTCTCAAATATGCGTCCTCAAATAACAAAAAAAAAAGACAAATTCATTGAAATTACCTGCTTAATTTGTAGTAAAAAAATAATATAGATCCCGTAATTTTTGTTATACGTGTTCAGGTTATAACAAAATCTAAAATAATTATCAATGTTTCCACAAAAGCTACTCTGACTCCAATCAACGTAAATTTTGCAAGACTGGATTCATATGCTTCTTGATATTTTCATGAGTTATATTTTGTTAGAATGATATTTAAATGTTCACGAAAATCTGATTGTTGGATTCTTCGATGGGAATTTAAATTTGTTCCGTGCAAATAAATATGCAGCCCAGAGGACAAAAATGATTTTTA